CAGTAGAGGGGTTGTTAACAAATTGGCTAAGTTGTTGTATGGCATAACTCACATCAGGCCGGGTTAAGTTCAAATACAGAAGTCTCCCTATGAGCCTTCTGTACTTATTTGGCTCTTCTAAGGGTTGACCATCAAATCCTGTAAGCCTCAGACCTTGTGGTAAAGGTGTATTGGTCGCCTTACAGTCCTGCAAGCCCATGTCACTAAGAATATCATGTATGTATTTTCTTTGGTTCAAGTGCAGTCCTCCATTGACAGCTGAAATCTCAATTCCCAAGAAATATTTGGCAACACCAAGATCTTTAATGGTGAAGAGATTGTGGAGATATTTCTTCAGTGCACATGTTTGTTTGTAATCTGACCCCATGACAAGGACATCATCAACATAGACTAGCATGGCCATGAAATCTTGTCCTTGTGTCTTAGTGAACAGACAGTGATCCTGATCAGATTGGAGTAATCCAAACTCAAGCAGCCTCTTTGAAAGCTCACAGTTCCACTCTCTTGAGGCTTGTTTCAAGCCATAAAGGCTTTTAATCAACCTGCATACTTGACCTTCCCTTCCCTTTTTGTATCCTTGAGGTAACTTCATGTACACTTCTTCTGAAAGATTGCCATGTAAAAAGGCATTATTCACATCCAATTGCCAAATAGGCCATGAGTTTTTGGAGGCTATGGCTATGAACAGTCTGACTGTTACTAGTTTAGCAACTGGTGAAAATACTTCAAAGTAATCCACCCCTTCCACTTGATTGAACCCCTTAGCCACCAGTCTAGCCTTGTACCTCTCTACACTCCCATCAGCTTTTCTTTTGATTTTATATACCCACTTTGACCCTATGGCCTTCTTTCCCTTTGGCAGATAGGATAATTCCCATGTATTATTTTTTTCAAGAGCTTGCAGCTCCATATTCATTGCATCTACCCAGAGGGGATCACCTTTTGCCTGTTCATAGTGTGTTGGTTCTTTTCCTTCCTGTAAGTTTGCAAAGAATGCTGCATTTTGTCTAGATACACTTGAGTCAGCTTGGCACACATAGTCTTGCATCCAGGTTGGTTGTTTTCTAACTCTTCTTCCTTGTTGTGTGCTTGCAGTGTTATTTTGCAAAGTCTCTTCACATGCTTCTTCCCTTTCTTCATGTGTGATCTCAGTTTGTGGATTACCAGATGAGTCATGTATCAATGGAATAGGTACTTCACTTTCCCTTTGTCTATCTTTACCTTTGAAAGGGAACTCATTCACCTTGAAAACTACATCTCTTGAAACAAATCTCCTACCTTCTTCAATGTCAACCAGAACATACCCTTTGCTTCCTCTTGCATATCCAAGGAGAGCACATTTATGTGACCTTGTCTCTAACTTTCCTTTGTTAGGATTTGTGTTAACTGCATATACTAAGCAACCAAATGGTTTCAGATCATTATATTCTGGTGTCTTCTCATATACTCTTTCAAAGGGTGTTTCATAGCCTGTTGCAACACTGGGCAATCTGTTGATGATATGTGCAGCTGTAACAACTGCATAAGGCCAGTATGTAAGGTCCATACCTGAGTGAAAGATTAATCCTCTAGCTATCTCAAGCAGTTGTTTATGTTTTCTTTCCACCACACCATTTTGTTGTGGTGTGTACACACAGCTCTTTTGATGAATGATTCCATAATCTTGAAACATCCTTTGACATGATTGTCCCAAAAATTCTTGTCCATTATCACTCCTAACTTTCTTTACATTCTGGCCAAATTGTGTCTTGATCATAACAATGAACCCTTTGAGCATGTTTGCTGTTTCTGCCTTGCTATTCATGAGGAATACCCAAACTCCTCTGCTGTAGTCATCCACTATTGTCAAAAAATAGGCAGTCTCAGTAACAGATTCTTCTCTGCATGGGCCCCATATGTCAACATGCAATAGCTCAAAACAGTGTGAGGTTTGAATACTGCTAGATGGAAATGGCAACCTGTGCTGCTTTGCCTTGTAGCATATCTCACAGTCTTTTAGTTCTTTTTCTGCTGTAGCTGTACAATACCCCTTAAGGTGTGGTATCTGTTTCAAAACTCCAAATGATGCATGCCCAAGTATCACATGCCAATTCAGTAATGATGTATTACTATTGGCACTCAAAGCAAAATTTTCCTTATTGCAGTCTAGAATATATAGCTTATCCTTTAACACACCATGTCCAACCACCTTTCCAGTGAGTGTGTGCTGCAAGAAGCATCCCTCTGAGGTGAACTCACATCTTAGACTTGACTTTGAACACACCTGTGTCACAGAAAGCAAATTATACTTGAAGGTTGGTACCAGGAGTACCCCATGCAGCACCAGATCATCTGAAATTATGACTTCCCCAACTTTTGTGACCAGTTTGTTTGATCCATCAGGCATGTAAACTGTTATTGGTGAACTTAGTGTCACCACATTCTCCATCATGCTCTCATCAATGCACATATGCTTGCTGGCCCCAGTGTCAACTACCCAAGTAGCACTGCTGAGATTATCAAACATAGATAATGCATAATGTCTCTCTTCACTACCTTTGTTGCCTGCAAAGTTCACATACTGCTCTTCCTCTTTATAAAGGTTGTTCCCTGTCATATCAAAAGATCCTTTGCCAAGCAATTTTGCTACCTCCTGGGCTAAAGCAGTAATATCTGGGTTTACAGTGCCTTTTGCTCCTTGAGCCTTCACATTTCCATCAGTCTGCACCATGTTTGCAGTTCCTCTACCCCTCCTATCCTTAGTTTCCTTGAACCACTCTGGGTAACCATGAAGCTTAAAGCAAGTAGCTCTTTCATGTCCATTCTTTCCACAATTATCACAGAATAACTTTGCCTTTTCCTCCTTTGACATCCTTTGTCCTTCTCTTGATGTTCTTTGGTTATAAAACTGGGGTTTCATGTTGTTTTCTCTCCCAAATGTACCATGCTTGGCTACCATGGCCACATTAGGATTTGTATCTCCATCGGCTGAGTTCACTGCCCTCTGCCTTTCAGCTGACAAGATCATAGAAAAGGCTTTGTTTACTGTAGGAAGAGGATCCATCATTAACACCTGATTTTTAACATGATCATAACTCTCATTTAGGCCCATCAAAAATTGCATCAACTTCCCTTGCATGTGTTGCTCTCATCCCACATCTTTTTCAACTTGTTAAAATACATCATAACAGGTTCATTACCTTGTTTATGATTCGCAATATCCCTCTGCAACTTGAAAATCAGAGGTCCATTGCTTTCCCCAAATTGTTGTCCAATTTCATCCCATAGTTCCTTTGCAGACTCAGCATATAAGAAACATTCAGCAATATCCTTGGACAGAGAGTTCAGAATCCATGAAATCACCATACAATCCACCTTTTTCCATTTTGTGTAATTCACATCATTCTCAGCAGGTACATCAATCGCACCATTAACAAAACCTAATTTCGTTTTTGCACAGAGTGCGATCATCATCGACCGCTTCCAAGCCAAGTAATTGGAACCAGTGAGTGGATGCGAGACCAACTGCATACCTGGATTATCGGACGACGCGAGAAAAAGAGGATTATCTTCTCGATCATCGCCATTGTTTCCTGCTCGTGCGTTCAACAGTGGCCAAGCTTCATTGAATCGATTGTTCGCCATTAGAGATGATTTCGAGCTTCAAAACCTGATTTTGGCTCTGGATACCATGTAAAATCTCGAGCTCACAGAATATGAAGCTAAGATATTTTCATTTCACGTAATCACACAATTACAGGCGATAAGCCTATTTATTTACATGCAGTACAATAGAACGACGTCGTATGCTCATTAGTCTAATGTATATTCCAAACGACGTCGTTCATATTACTAAAGCGCAGCTCAGAAATGAAAAAAAAACGCAACACGCGTTCTGTCAAAAGGAAATCGAGCAGTTATAACTGCTTTATTCAACTATATCAGAAATATGAAATATGCAATGCACTGTGTTTCATATATGTTCTCTTCACGATCCAAGCTTATTCTTCTACACAAACAGCTCCCGGTTGGTCCCGGACAGCAATCTAGCAATCCCCGATCAGTAGCGAAAGTCCGAACAGCAACAATCATTCCCGGACAGCACCTGCAAATAGAAGAGTAGACAACAAATGAATTGTTCGAAATAACAATTGACTGACCGTAAGAGAATAGAATCACCAATCAGAGCGCTTGGTTGATGGATTTCAGGCTCAGCCACATACAATAATACCCACGAGAATCACAAAGATACTAGCTCCGGGCCACGGCCATTCAATCCTCCGACACCCCGAATCTTCGGCAACACAAAGCCTTGCACAAAGGAATACCAGAGACACCCACGAAGGAGATGCACAAAGTAGTCTCTAATTTTATCTCAAACTCTCACGAACTCCCTGCTCTCTGATGTTCCAGGCCCTCACACACAATAGCACACACAGTACACAATTTTCTCGCATACACAAAGTACATAGCACCTTTATTTTATCACTCACTCACCCACACACAGCACATACAGCACTCTGTTTTTCACTCACTCACAAAGACATGCTCTCGATTTATTTGTTTTTTTCACACACTTAGCACTCACCAAGAGTACTGAGCCAATGGCTGCAAAACAATTGTACAAGAGGCCTCTAATTGCTATTAATTAAAGAGATGGGCCGGTGGACAAGGATTATTTCTTGGGCCATCCACAAAGGTAATTTGGGCCACAAAAAATAACAGAGGAAGAATAATATAAAATGATAATATATATGTTTTTCTTTAGACTAGTGTAAAGAACAAGAACAATAAGGCTGAAGTATTACTGGAGGTAAGCATCACCAAAAGGAGCAATATGCCTTTATTATTGTGTCGTTAACTAACTTATTGGTAGATGATTTTATATTATTCTTCCTCTTCATTCACGTTAGCTATGACTTTGATGCACATGTTATATATGTGGTGAGTGCTACAAATTATTCATATCCAGAGCTAGCTATCCGGCATTAACAACACCCAGTAAAATAGAAGAACAAAAAATGTCCTCACGAAGCCAGCGGTTATCCGACTTCGGAATATCAACAGAAACCGATCACTTTGATTGGGATACTGAAGAAGGAAACAACATGGATCTCGACGAGGCGAACTCTGAGACGTGCAGCGCGTGCCTTTTGCCTATCTTCTTGACTCCCTTCACTCGAGATCCCAACAACAACCGTGTCGTGATGCACGATGAATGCTCGGGCGAGGATTCTTTCCCCCAAAAATTGAGGGGACACGCGCTTCACCCAAAGGGGGACCTCATCTTGTACCGCCAACACCCATCCATACCACTCGATGCTCGACTTTCATGCAGAAGATGTGGGTCGACGTGCGGGACTATTTTCTATAAATGTCCCGATGATTCTAGCTGCAACTTCACGCTCGACCTCAAGTGCGCCTGCCCGGTAAGGGTCCTACACAGGAGCCACAGGCACAGGCTGACGGTCAAAAGGAGGAGGGGTCGCTCCTTCATTTGCTATGCGTGTGGGTGTCTGCACGAACGTCCCACGAGTGACGAGTGGGTTTTGTGCTACGAGTGTGCCGACTGTGATTTCCAAATCCACGGAGACTGTGCCGTTTTGCCCAATGCCATTGTCCTCCAACATCACCACCATCCCCTTCTGCTACAATATTATTCCAAGGGATATGTTTCGCCATATCCATGTAACATTTGCGATAGGAGTATGTTTGAAAGGTACTATGAACGTGAACGTGAGAGCTATGAATGTGGGTACTATGCATGTGTCGCGTGCTGGTTTTCAACTCACATCAACTGTGCTATTAAACCATTTCAACACAAGCCAGGTAATAATATATATACTTATTGCTTTGATATTGTTCGGAAATATTGTACTATTCGTCCATTAACTATACATTCGTTACATTTTCGTCCTTTAATTGTTTTCGATTTACAATTGGCACATTAACTTTTTTTTGGGTAATTTTAGTCCAAAATGACATTCCGATGCTAATTTTCTCCGGAATAGCTGATGTGGCGCTCAGTCAGATGTAATTTCCATTCTCGGCGTGATGTAGCACGAGGTGGCTCCCAGTTAGATCAAAAAAATTGCACTATACGTCCACTAACTTTACATTCGTTGCACTTTCGTCCTTTAATTGTTTCTGGTTTCCAAAATCAAAAGAAAAAATATTAAGAAAATCAAAAGAAAAAGAAAAAGCTTTAAATTTCATTTGTGAAGACATGTGGATCAAAAATTAACAAAAAAAGAATATTAATTAATAAAAGATCATTTTGTTTAATGACTTTAAACAAAGTAAAAAAACTAATCTTTTTATATTTAATAAAAATACATTTTTTTATTTAATTAAAAACGAAATAATAAAAAAAAGGAAATGAAAAAAAACATAAACATTTAATGAGAGATAAATATTTTTTATTTAATGGTTAAATATTTAATAAAAAAATATTTATCATTTTTTTTGTTTAATGAAAATAATATTTTCTAAATAAAAAACAAAATATTTAATGATTAAATAAAAAAGAAATATTTAATAAAAAAATAAATATAAAACGAAATAATATTTCATGAGTAATAAATATTTAATAAATGTTTTCTATTTAATGGTTAAATATTTATTGAAAAATGAAATATCTAGTAAAAAATATTTTTTGTTTTACTAAATATTTCATTTTTTATTAAATACTTAATCATTAAATAAAAAATATTTATTACACATTATTAATTAATTTCATTTTTATTAAATATTTCGTTTTTATTTAATTATTAAATATTTCATTGTTTATTAAATAAAAAATTATTTTTTAAAATAATTATATTTTTCTTTTTCTTTTGATTTTTTCCTTTTCTTTTTAAAGCTTTTCCTTTTTCTTTTGATTTTTTAATATTCTGGAAACAATTAAAGGACGAAAGTGCAACGAATATAAAGTTAATGGACGAATAGAGCAATTTTTCCGATCTGATTGGGCGCCACATCACGCCGAGAATGGAAATTCCGATCTGACTGAGCGCCACATCAGCTATTCCGAAAAAAATGAGCACCGCAATGTCATTTTGGACTAAAATCACAAAAAAAAAAGTTAGTGTACCAATTGTAAACCGGAAACATATAAAGGACGAAAGTGCAACGTGGGTATAGTTTATGGACGAATAGTGCAATTTTTTCGATATTGTTCAATATTATTAGGGATGTAAATAGGTCGGGTCGGTACGGGTTTTGGCAAACCCGAACCCGACCCGCATATAATTTACCCTATCCAAACCCGACCCGTTACCCGACTAGTGATCTTCGGGTTCGGGTTGCGTTTACCCAACGGGTTAGTGGGTTTTCGTCGGGTAAGCGGGTAACCCGAGTCTTAAATTTAGGTTTTTCCCGACCCATCTCATTTGATATGAAAAAATAAAATAAAATAATTTCACAACTAATTATAATATAAGAAATAATTTATTAACTAAGTTTGATAATAAAAAAACTATAAAAATATATATTATTTTTGGAATAAATAATGAGATATGATTATTTATCTTTTATAGTCCATTTAATATTATAACATTTAAAATTAAATATTTTTTTATTATACAATTAACAAAAAATGATAATAAAATATAAAAAATAAAATAAATTTAACCATTAATCAAAATTATAATAGATAATCTAATTTTTAAAAATACCACATGACTACTTTTATATCTATTATAAGTTATAAATATATATACATATATATATATGTATATGTATATCTATGTATGTATATACGATTCGATGGTCGCGGATAAACGAGTAGGGTAATCGGGTCGGGTAATGGGCCTGCCTACTATACCCGCACCTGACCCGACCCGGGGTTCGGGTAGCATAATTCTACCATAACCCGACCCGAAACCCTATCATGTCGGATTTATCCAATCTAAAATGCGGGTAACCCGCGGGTAACCCGACCCTATGGATTTTATTGACATCCCTAAATATTATTCAAACAATAAGGTATTGTTTGGTTGGGAAACAAGGAGGGGAGGGGAATTTTTTTTTTTTTTTACTTTTCTCTTGTTTGGTTGTGAAATTTAGATATTTTTTCTCCTCTCAAAAAATGGATGAATTTGAAGGAGAGAGAAATTTCTAATACATTCAATTACAATTTTACTTTCCATATATATAACAAAGAATAATCTAACATCATTGATTAATAATATATTTGTTATTTTAATATTATTTTACCTCGCCTTTCATTTTCTTACCAAACAAGATTTACCATTTTTTCCCAACTTTCCCCTCACAAAATCCTTCCAAATAAAATTATTTTACATTACCTCTCTTTCCCTTTGTTGAACCAAGCATACCTTAATGCATTCCAAACTATACTTAGTCTCTCCCATAGAAATAAATAAATAAATAAATAAATAAAGTAAAGGACTACATTTTGGAGAAATCAAAACTGTTATTAATTAATTTAGTATTATTTTAAGATAAAAAATAAATGAAAAGAAAAAGGTTTTTAACTTTCCTATATTTTGCAGTATTGATTCGGAATGCACAAGTTCCCAACTTGCTTCGTCTTCCCATGGAAAATGAATACACGAGTGTGATGGCATGTTTAATGAAGACTAAGTATACAAATGATGGCGGTGCTAGTGCTAGCGCTAGCAACTATTATGGCCATGATAATAGTACTGACATTGATGATAGCAAATCATCATTATTTCAAAAGAGCAATCTGCACAAGCATCGTCTGATTCTGCTTGATGCAGATGGTATCGATCGTGTCTGCAATGCGTGCATTCAAATTATATCTCCATTCGATCCATATTACACTTGCATTTATAATTATAACGGTGATGACAATAACAACAAGAAGAGTAGCAAAGTTGGCTGTAAAAATTTCGTTCTCCATAGATCTTGTGTCCGTCTTCCTACCACTTCATCCATCCAACAATATTTGTCCCTTTCACTGAAACTCAACCAATCTCCAATGAATGTAGTCAAGTGCAACTTTTGCTTACGTCCTAGCAATGGACCAGTTTATTGTATGACTAACAGCTCGTGGTCGGATGTTGTGTGTGCTAATATGCCCAATTCAATCACGCACGACGCGCATGCAAGGACACACATTCTTTTCATATCAGTATTACCTGACCCACCCAAAAAATGTAACTGTTGCGCAAAGGGACTGAGTTTTGGGATGTATTACAAATGCAATAGTTGCCGCAACTTCTTTATACACGCCTATTGTGCCCTCCTTCCAAACACGGTCCACCACAAATTCGACCGCCACCCCCTTAAGCTGGTCGCTACCACGAAGAAAGAAGATCATGAAACAGGTGAAGATGTGCAACAATCTATGTTATGTGAGATCTGTGAAATGGACATAGACAAGAGGTGCTGGTACTACAGCTGCACCCAATGTAACCACTCTTTCCACATTCGTTGCATTCCTTATTTCGATCGTCTTTCCAAGATGAAGCTCGGTTTCACTCTTCGTGTGGGATGCCACGACTGTCCGGTCGCCTCTGTACGAGCACTTTCAGTCCATGGTTACCGATGTGGCGACTGTGGGGAACACATCAGGGAGTCTGACAAGATTGCCTTCGAATGCGCTAAATGTTATTTTCGGGTCCACGGAAAGTGTGTCCAGAAATATATGTCAAAAAGATAAGTGAAACAGGTATTTCTGTGAAAGGTGTGTGTGTGTGAGAGAGAAACCAAGTTGGGTAGATTTGGGTGGGCCCCACTATATAGGTGCATGAGTTGTACTTTGTATAATAACTATTTTATCCTGCACACTTAATTACATGTCATCACATATTTGACTGCTTTTAATAAAGTTTGACATGATCGACTGTTGTTTTGATAGATTTAATAGTACAAATTTATTTTTATTTCTTTCACTATCCACTATTCTCATATGATCTCATATATATATATATATATATATATATATATATATATATATATATGTATGAGCTTACTTTTTAAAATGAGTATGCGAGACTCAATTCAAGTAATTGATTTTGTGTAGATTCAATGCTAATATAATCATTAGGATATACAAATGAACCAACGTCCGACATGGGCCACACCAGCGTCGTCAGAGGTTTCTCATGCCATTGCCTGAGCCAAGATATGGCCTTGCCTGAGCTGGGGCCTCTGTTTAGTAAATTTTTGCGGTGGGTAAAGGATTACCGAGTTACCCGACTCGGGTCAATCTCGAGGGAAGGCTATTCGGAACTTTACTTACTATTCAATCGCTCGAATCACAAAAAGGGAAAATAAAGTCCTAAACATACTAATCAATTTGGGTTGAGGTTGATTAACACGAATTACGACTAGTGAAAGCAAGTAAACGAGCAACGAGCAAGTGAACGAACTACGGGATCCTAGCAACTAAACCGGTGAACAAAGTCAAGAGCAACAAAAACGAAAGTAAGAGAAACGAACGCCATTTAGCATGCTTAAGAACCAAAACCGAAATCCTACTACGAAATAACCGAGCTAAATGTAAAGTCACGATTTTTCGAGTAGTAATCAATAATCAATCAAGCCCCAAGCATCATAAACGAGCTCAAAAAAGTAAAGGAAACGAAAACAACTAACATAGCTACTAAAAATCCGATAATCGAGCAAGCCCTAATTATTTCTACGCACGAGATAGCAAGTAAGTACGAAAATCGAGATCACAAGGCTTAAAAGTAAGTACTCACACCTCTAACGCATGCTTGATCGATATCGGAAGAAAAAAGATTAAAACTTGGCATAAACGAAAAGTCACCGGAAAAAGCCGCCGGAAAAAGTAAAGAGCATCCACCTTACTCTAGAGAGAAATAAAAACAAAAGCTAAGAACCAAAAAAGAAAATATTTCATAATGAGCTAGATAATCCAAAATGCAAAGGCTCAAAAGTATTTATACTCTACTCAAAACACGCACTCAAAAACACAGATTAAGTGGGGGCACTTTCGGCCACGCCTTGAAGTTCACGAGCTCGCGAGATGAAGGCATGCACGGGCAGGGCAATGAAGCACTCTCGATGGCATGGCGGGCT